CCCCCCCCCCCCCCCTCAGCTACGGGCCTGTGTGGTACGTATTAAGATAATCGCTGAAAATTGGAGCGCAAGCGAGGAAAGGGAAATTAGAAACACTTTCCTCATGCTGTGCCTTGCCCGTCCGCCTTTTAAGCTATATGGAGTGTTGAGAGTAGGCTTTGCTACAAGTCGACTCGTATCATTTAGCTGCGATCGAGATTGAGCAAGTGCGCATTTCAGCGATGCGGCTCGGATCGCCCATTCGTTTAAATTAATTTAGTTGCCAGTAGGCTATATAGTTGCTTCGCAATGCTCGCATTGTAAAGGCCCATTAACGCGCAATATAGTCGTATACGAGGTTTATATCCTGACGTATGTACTCATATAAATGAGTGCTAAGATGTGACCGATTTCAAATTTCGCCGTAAACTGATGAACAGGAATAGTGGGATCAGCAGTCGTTTTCATGGAGTAAAACGAGCGTAGAAAGCGTGATATATAGTTGCAATTATTGCGCTACGGTGCGAGTCATCTTGTAACAAGTCTACGAAGAGAGATACTATCCTTTCTATGGCCAAACTGGCGTATTTAAATTTGCCGCACATATGGAAAATATACTAACCAACTTGCATGCAAAGAATACGGAAATTAAAGTTGAAACCTTAAATGAGTTGCCTTAACTTAAATTTCATGCTGTAGCTTTACGTATGTTTACAGAAGCGGCGTTTGCTACCAAGTACCAAATATCCTTGCGCATAAGTCAATATCTCTCCGAAAGCAATCAGTCAATTGTGCCAGTATTGTCGGCATTGTATTAACATGCAGCATATCTGCATATACCATTGTTGTTAAGTAAAAATGAGCAACATAAAGGAAATTAACCCCTGTCTAAACAAGCCGCGGTGTTTTGGTGTTAATTAAGGAACAGTTTGCGTTTGAGCATGTTTCAAAAGAGATTTTAATCAGCCGCTGAGTTGCGAAGCCGCTATGTAAAGCGAATAGATCGTGTTAATTGACTCCCACTGCTTTAGTTGTGGCTAATTTTATAGGTCAGGTGGTAACACACCGTAGTCGATTACCTTTTAACAGCAACAAGGCACAAATATTTTAGGTTATGCTCGTTTAGGGCTAAACCATCGTATCTATGGGTGTTTCGTGTCTTTTACAAAACGTAACATCTCGTAACAAAGTGTAAACAAAACAACAGCTACATGTCATGTTTTTATGTTGACCCTGACGATGGACGTCCTGTTGCGAGCCGAACAATCCCTTGAATGGCTGGGCATGGCCACATTTGTTGCCCGCCTGATATTGACCAACTGTTATTGATATGAAATGAAGCATTAAGTGGCTTAACTGATAAAATTTATATTTTTGTTAACTTTTAAGCCGACTAATGACCGCGTATTACGTATTCCGTGTGAGTTTATCCTTGAGAGGCTTTCACACCGCTCGGTTGAGCTAGGTCATTAATTAAACATATTCCTAATTTGTTATGTATGGAACGCACTGACAGATCTAATTTGCGCGAAAATAGAACATGTAGCAAATGTACCCCACTTGGTAACGGCACAATAACGCCACTTAAAGTTCGTTCTATCACAGCATTATTTATTGGAAATGAATCTTTAATTTTAGGACGCAAATACAGTTATCCGTTCTAAAATCATACCAAGTTAAATTGCGCGCCAAACGAGCACGAGTATTAAAGCTGTTGGTATGGTGGTGATGACAGTTATTATATAACAAATGTTTAGCAGGCTAAAAAAACTGGTTACTTTACCTTGCTGTTGTTAATTTTGTTTAATACTTCACACTGTTCTTCCATAGTTTCAATGGAACCCAATTTCTTGTGGCTCAAACGGGCCTCTCGCATCAAGTATGTATCAAGAACAGGCAGACCCTGTGCTATCAATTTCACATAGTACTCTGTTAGTTTGTCGAGCAACAGCATGATCCATATAGGTCGATTTTTATGCCAGTTTTTTGTCATTTGTTTGTACAGCCGTAATGGGTTTACTCCCATAAGCTGTTGCTCAAACGTGATCCATTTTGATAATTTCCCTCGAATGTAAGATAAATGGGTTTTTATTCGTTTATACAATATTGTCGGCAACACATCTCGTAATTTGACGCCATGTGGCAAGCTCTTACACTGTTCAAGGGTCCTCAAATTCTGCTGGTCTGTCGCGTCTAATTCAAAATAGACATTACTGGCTGTTTTAAACGCATGCTTGCTGTTCAACGGTATGTAATCCCACACTTTAGTGTATGGTACGTGTATTGTTCCGAAGAAATACACTGGTGGATTTCGATCCATGAACCAAAGGAACGAATTGAGCTCACGGTTCTACAAACAGTATCAAAACATAGATTGAGATCAAACAAGCATTTAGTCTGACATGAATTTGAAGAATGAAGTGATATAGTTACAGGAGGACATGTCCAATTCCATTTATCTCTTACCAGTTGGCTTGGACATGACTCAGTTGAGTAATTTTCGAGTGACCTCTTCCAAAGATTTTGTTGGAAATGAACATTGTTTTCCTGTGAGTACAGAGGGAACAAAAATGTTAAAAGTCGAACGAAACGACAAGCGTTTACCTTCATATTGCATGCAAACATAGGTTTTAAAATGCACTTATACTAGAGCTATGGCAACACTTACCAGATTATTAATGAGAAGCCAGAGCAAAAGCCCTTGTGAAATTGCCATAAGCGACACAGTTTTCTCGTAAAGTAAAGCAAGACAGCAATAGCCTCAAGGGAGTTAGAACATCGATATCCGCGAATAGACGCACGCTGCTCAGATGAGAAGTGATTTTGGAAACACTTTAATACTCGCACTTGAAGTGCGATCAAGTTTGGTCATCGCTATCTGACACTGTAGAAGCATCTGTGGATAGATAAGATTATTATTTGTGTTTGTTCTCCACTGGGTGCCACTAAACAACGATTATGCCCCAAGTCACGACAAGAGAAATAAATTATCTTATAGCGTAAACTGTAAACATGCAGCGCATTGAATACTGACGCAATCCCTTAGAAAAATACAAACTGCGTCCGCTATGGGGAACTAGAATGTTTTCTCAAAGTTAACTTGAATAATTGCATTTACTCTTTGAATTCCTGATACATGTTTTCCTCACACTCAAATACATCAGGAATTTTGTAGGTAATAGAATTGATTGGATTAGTAAAATTGCTGTTAAAAAACACTTCACTCAATGTGTGGCACCGGAATTTAATGTTGGTCCTTAAAATGACAAATTATGGAAAGAGACTCATATGAGGAACTATTAAGCAAGGCCAAACTTCCCAGTTTCTATATTAGGCGTTTGCAAGATATTTCTATTTTGATGGTCAAAGTCAAGAAAAGGATTTTTCAAAATATTGATAAGGGCAATTATTTCTTGCGCAACGCAGACTTTCATAGACCACGTTTTGACACAATTCAATCAGTATGGCAAGCACTCGTTAAAGTACTTTGGGCCATACTTGTGGTCTAACGTAGTGAAGAAGAAAGGGATCTACATTAGCAAGTTTTAAAGCTTGTATTAGGAAAAGAAATCTACAGGATATATTGTAGAAAATAACTGCAATAATTGTAATCTTTGCTCCACATAAAATATGGATAAACAGATAGATATAGATTTAGTTTTATAATATGTAGTTATATATAGTTACTATATATAGGTGTCCCCAATTAGTTGTAATGAGTAAGTAGATCGACAGATTTAATAAAGTTGTTCATAATAAATTATACATTTTCGGTTTATAGAAATTTAATACTTCCCTTTTTCCCGACTCATATTAGGAGGTAAATATATTGAGTCGTGCCCAGAAACAGACTGACTCTGTTTAGACCCTTGGTCAAGAATAAGATCTGCAGGCCCATGTATGAATGTTTAAATATATAGTACCTAGTATTTAGTATTATAAATTTTAATTTGTTCTGTGTAAAATAAAGTTGTTTTAATTAATTAAGCAAATTATGATTATGCACTGTTAATTGGATTTATGAAATAAATGATATTAAGAACGAGCTGAGTTGTTGTACTTGTTATCAGAATAGGGGGCCCCAAGGACAGCTTGGCAAATGCTAATGAGGCATTTGCATAACCTACCTTATATAAGTTGTTTACGCCAGTAGCTCATTCTCAGTCGTGACATTTAGTCGTTCCCACCCCCCCTCACCCACGGGGGTTCTTAGTCGTTCCCACCCCCTCACCCACGCCCATCCGTAGCCTTCCCGGAGGAAGCCCGCAGCCAGCCCCGTCGCTTGGCTCGCTACCCGTCGATTACCCAATCTCAGTTAAGTACCTTTCCCTGTTCATGATCTGGCACCTCGCGCTAGCCTCGCTGGGTTAACGACCCTGGTATCTCACAATCCTTCGTATGTCGCATCGTCCTTCCCGCCCTGTGTTTGCGGCAATCAGCGTCAACAATCGGCCCAAACTCGTGTGTGTGTCATAAGTCGTTCGTTATACAGTGTCTCTTTCGGAGCAGGTCTTGGCCGTGCCCTTGCTCATCTCCACTTCCTTAGGAAGTGTGATTGTGGTACTATAGGGGAGAGGTGTAGTTCTCGGCACTCGAGAACAGCTAGGTTAAATGTAAATACGTTACCAAGTCGTCGATACCTAATTTGTGAACGTGGCCATGACTAAACTCAAACTCTCGACCCACGGTCATGGCTTCGACCGAACTTCCTCTTCAGTGATACTACAAACCGCCAAGTCACTTATCAGATATTTGCCAGTTAGGATCGAAGCGAGCTTGTTAATTTCAGGTTAAATTAACTTAACTTCCAATGGAATTATTTTGAACTTAATTTAACATCACCCGAGGGAAGAGTAAAATTTCAAAAAGCTGTCACCGGACAAAAAAACTGAAAATTACTTCGCCAATGAACTTACTAGATCGGTCGTTTTTGAAGCAATTTAAAAGTGCGTTGTTTTATCAGACTTAAAGATACTCGGCTTCGCCTCGTATCTAGTATACCGAACAAAATAGAGTCAATTCTTTCGAACTTAGCTATTACCTCTTCGCCGTCTAAATTTGTGAACCGCAGAGCTCTGTTTCAAGTTATTCTCGCTTTGGGCATGCTTTTCAGTTCCTTTTCGACGCACTAACTACCTAAATAATTTCGATTCTTCAGTCATAGTGTTGCGGTGCCGGTCGCATAGACAACTACGTTCCAGTCACGGCTTGCATGAAGTACATTTTGTAGTGAACTTTATGGTGACCTAACAGTAACACTGTAAAACAAAAAACAACTACCTTAATGTCACCTTTAACCAAAACATTACACCCGCTACCCCTGTAGCACACGCAACTTCGACCCTATTTATACTGTAATAGTATAAAAAAAATCGTCGGTCTCCAATAATGAAGAATTTTTCCGACAATCCTATTTCAGTTCCCACGCACATGCAAGCCATCCTCTGGAACAATCTACCACGTACCATCGAACATCAAAGCCGCCCATTCCCTACAGATCATCAACCACCATCCGTACACTCTTATTACAAAGCCAAACCGGTCTACCAAAATACCAGTATAGATAGATTAATCTGAGCTACTCTAAAATTCGTATACAGTATCCTATATGTTAAGTTGTATATAATCTGTGATATGTTCGTGCACATTGTCTTGGTGCGTCTCGTTATCCATCAATTGTTAAGGGGTCGAATATCAATTGAAATCTAGAGCTTCTGTTTTCCTCTCCTGTCACAGCATTTTCTAGTCATTATATTATTCTTATATCTCTATATATAAATGTGTATCTTTTATGTATTGTGTGTGACAAAAATGAATAAAAAATTTAGAAAAAAAAAATTATTCTCTATTTATATAACAATTTTTAATCTTTAGCGCAGCACTTGTGTAAATATTATGTAAAGATTATGTAAAAAAAAATGCAATATCGCTTAGATTAGAATGACTTAAGAACCGTGGGTGAATAAAGTTATACTATTAACTTCAGTTTCGAGAACGATCCGTTCACACATGCAACTGATCATGATGCAAGCATGCAATGTGTCATGCATGGATGCAATTTCCTATTCTGTATATGAGTCTGTAACCAACATTTCCGAAGACACGCCCAAGTCGATAGTTTGCGACGTTCTTTTCGGTAACAAATTCGCGGCGTCAGGCCTAACTTGCACTAATTGAAATGGGCCAATCATGTTAGGAATCAAGTGAATTTTCAGCAAAAAGAAAGTTCTCCGGACCTCGGTCCGTGTCCGATATTCCGACCGCCCTATCCGCTCCTTACCAAGAAATGAGGATAGCTTTTTCAAACCGGTGTTGTGGTGTATATATAGTTCATACTGGTGTAGAGTTCTCCCCCGGACTTCTCTCGGCGCAAAATTTTCTTCACATATAGCTGAGCCGTTTAATTAAAATACATGCGTGGAATACCGTTGGATAAGTCTCTATTAAGTATTTTTATCTCAATGCATGAGGGTGTATTAAGTCAAGAGTGGAATTATCGCTTTACGTACAACACAATTATTCGATGAGCTAATTAATTCTTGAACAAATATTCCTCTGAGGCTCTGAGTATAATTCCTGGTTAGGTCTACTTGATACTCTAAACTATAATGTATAAAAATTCTACTCGAAATTTCCATCTATACAAAACAATTACTTATTTCGAGTGCATTAATAGACAACTTGCATGTTAGACTAATTTTTGATTTAGGCAAAAAGAAGTAAATTCCCGTAAAGAACTTATTAAAATCAGTAAAATTGCAAAATTTGGTTGCGAAATGTTGTAAAATGCCGGAAAATATAGCCTTGCGAAGTTTACATATTTTCAGTATGTTTGTATTACGTGCGGAAATTGTTACCATTTTTGAACCGAAAATGGTAACAATTTCTGCACGTAATACAAATATACTAGTGAAAATATGCATGTAAACTTCGCAAGGCTATATTTTCTGCATTTTACAACATTTCACAACCAAATTTCGAAATTTCACTAATTTCATTATTTTCTTTTTAACTGTTGTGTTTTATTCCCTTCTCTTTACTTATATTAAAATTTAGTCTAACATGCAAGTTGTGCATTGGTGATCACCTTAGTATTTATACGTGAGCTTGGAGCTCGACAACTGTCTCTCTGCATAGCTCAGTCGGTTAATGATTAGAGCGCTGCATTGGAATCACAGGACCGCAGGTTTGATCAGTTCCTGGCAGAGGACCGATAGTAGCCTGCTCGCACCGATAGTAGCATTATTCGTAACTGCTTCTGATTAGGTCTAATAAAATTATAAACTGAAAATCCACTCGAAATTTCCATCTGCAAATCCCTTCAACAATTGGTTATATCGAGTGAGATACCCCAAATCCTGTTCTAATTAGCATATGTACCGCGTAACTTGCGTAGTGCGTACTCAGCTTAAAATTAAAGTGTTTGAGGAATTTGATCGATAATAATAACTGAAAAATAATCGGATTAGTAAAATGCTTGTAAGAACTAACACGATGTGATCGTGTGACATATGGTTGTATTTGGTGAACGCTAAAATGGCATTTCCTTCATTTTGATATGTATGTATGCATACAGAGTCATGGAACTCACACTTTAACTTACTAATTAATGGAAATAGAAAGAGAATATGGTACGGTTAGTCTCAAGAAATGTTTTTCTCCGTCCCTAGACAGAAAATTTTGGGAAATATAGAGGAATAAAACAGAGTTTTTTGG